ATTAAATACAAAAAAATAGACTTTTAAAAAAAGGTGCGCTAAGTTCTCGCAGCACACTTAATCAGTAAAATCAACTATTTCTTTAGAACTATTGTTATATATGATATAGAACCTTAGAACTATTGTAAAACAAACCGGAACTCTAAAGAAATAGTTAATTTAAATAGTTTTTTAGATTGTTTAGATCCGTAAGTTGAGAGAGAAAGAACGAAAGAGTGGATCTCGTAAGAGATGTTATTATACGAAAGAGAGATAGCATATTCTTTTTGCCAATGCTTAAGATAAACCGAAATAATAGAAAGCTCCTCGAATAGATTAAATTAACAGTAAGATATTATTCTCCTGTCGAAATAAGTCATCGCGGCGCAAACTGTATTCCCGTCCAATCACGCGTTCGCGAGCAATTAGACCCAAAAGATTATCAAGTGATAGAAAGGTGAAAATCCAGGTTTGCGAGAGAAAAATTTCAAGCGCATGATATTATTCTCCTGTCGAAATAAGTCATCGCGACGCAAACTGTATTCACGTCCGATGACGCTTTTGCGAGCAATTAGACCCGAAAGATTATCAAGTGACAGAAAAGTGAGAATCCAGGTGTGCGAGAAAAAAATTTCAAACGCATGATATTATTCTCCTGTCGAAATAAATCATCGTGGCGCAAAACGTATTCCCGTCCGATCACGCTTTCGCGAGCAATTAGACCCGAAAGATTGTCAAGTGACAGAAAGGTGAGATTCCAGGTGTGCGAGAGAAAATTTTAAAACGTATGACGTACGTAGTGTTCTCCTACCGAAACAAGTCATTGCAGTTGTAAGCGTACTTACAAAGAGTTATTTGTTCTAGAGTAATTGATCGCGAAAGTTAGTTGCATTACAGGAAACGAGATTCCAGTTGCGCTATAAAAACATTTCAAAGGCAAATGTCTCTTGCATTCTCTCTTGAATGCGGGAGAACTTTAGCTTTTCAAGAAGTCCTACCCGAAATCTTCTTGGAATTTAGGAGCTAAGACATCGACAGCTTAATCGATTATTAGTTTTTTGCTACCGCTTCCAGGAAACACAACGAGCTAGCGGTGTTATCTTCGGACTAAGGATCTTGTTCGAGCACTCGTGGTGATATTATCATCTAACACTTGGTCTATAGGTTTCGTAGAAACGTGGGAAATAATTCCTTGTAAAGCTGAGAGAGAGATTTTCGGGCATCTGACTAAGATGTACTTGCTATACTTCTAAGATTGATTAGTTGAAAAAGACGCAAAAATTTATGATTCACCATCTTGTAGTAGCAACTGATTTATCAACATGCACGATGTGAATGGAATGTATAAATATAATATAAAGTATTTGCGTGTAACGCGCATCGACTTAGATTTATCGCTGACATTTTAATCATGATCAGACAAAACAAAAAATGCGGGACCATCAGATATACCTAATCGAAATTTCTATGATAAAAGGCTCTTGTACATTCATAAAGAAATAATAACCTTACAATTCGCATTCACGTCGTGGAGAAATTCGTTCACGAGAAATAAGTTTGGAAATTTCGATGCAATACTGACAGATGATAATTTAATTTAACATTATTGGTCTGTTCTTTCCAGCTGCACTGCTGAACTGGTGCAATAAGTTAGAGTGAGAAAACATATCGTCCGAAAGACCGCGGACGACTCGTGAAATACGTTGCTCCTGTCGCGTTTCGACTCGTTTTCAAATCAATGTGGCGAACTCTTGGTACAGATTCAGTGTGGCAAACTCTTAGTACAGATTCAGTGTGGCAAATTCTAGGCCAGCAAATATAAGGTCTAAGACCCGTTAACTCTGCGTGAATGCAGAGAGAAGCATGAGAGCACCCACCAGCCTGATTTTAATGCCCAGAACTAGACGCATTTTCTAGGTGCCATCTAACAAAGTGCGCCTTTACTACGTTATCGCATTTTCGCGATGGTAACGATAAAATGCGTTTGATTCGTGCCCGTTGTATTTCCGTACTAGAGATGAGACATCGAACAGAAATAATCGATTATAAGCTATAATCGGTATCGGTATCGCTTAACCGTTTCGCATTTGCGGAAGAGTTGAGCGCGAACTTCGTAGAAATACTGCGGAGTTGTTATCCGCAAAAATATTGCGGAATTGTCTTTGCAAAAGTATTGCGGAGCTGTTATCCACAAAAATATTGCGGAGCTGATAAAATGATAATAAAATGATAATTGATATATCTTTTCGAGGAGTTACCGCAAGCTAATGACAATATTGATATCTGGCGCCTTTATATAAGCTCAAAGTGTCGGGGATAATAAATCGAAGCCAGTATGGTTATATATAAGAAGTTATTGCGGGATATTATATATCGGTGAAAGTTCTGTTGTACACTGAAAAGGAAGTAGTTGATTTAAGGAGACTTTGTTCGAATGAAAGATATTCGTTCAAGTAAACGTTACATCGATTGTACAAATTATGTTTAAATTGTTGCGATGAATTATCAATTGAATCAATGGTTATGATTTGGTCAGTAAGTATATCAACCCAACTTACAGTTGCGTTAATGCGTAGTTTGTTCAATATTTCTTTGATGGCTGGTGACTGTCGATTTTGTCGATGGAACTGCTTTCTTTCTCAGCGTATATACAGAGTGTTCATTTTAAAACTTCCTATTTTAATATTTTTAAAAATATGCGTTCTTTTATTTAAATTAGAATTATTATCATAAGTTTATGAATAGAAATTATTAACCAACATTAAATTATTTCAAACAGTTCTATCTTTAATTATATGAAAAGTTATCTTCGAAGTTATATAAACAGTTGTTCCATAAAGAAATAAAATTAGATAAAAAGTAATAAAGAAGCAGAGAGAAGTGATATTTGGAGAAGATTTTTGTACACGTTTATCATTTGTAATACGTGTCTACTCGGTCAACTTTAGACACAATCTATATATTTACAACTTACTTTATTTGGAAAACAAATAAAAACATAAAATGTAATCGAAACAATAATAGACACATATACTGAATACAAGTTGAAAGTTGAAACGGATTAATCGCGCGGATCCGTTTGAAATGTGTTATAAAATCTGTCAATTACGCAATATAAGATATAAAGATTGTAAAGTTTCAAATAACTCTTCCAGATGTGTTATAAACAAATATATTTTTTACTAGTATTGGATAATCTCTAAAAGGGCGGACTAATATAGTCTATAACAGTATAGAATATATATTAATATATTTCTTATGAAAAGTTTTAATAAGCAAATATTTATTATATCATGCACATAAATTACACATGTATATTCATATGAATGAACATATATATATATATGTTCATATATTTAATATTTTTATACATATTTTACAAATATTTGTATATATATATATATGATATGTACATATATATACTTGTGTGTATATATATATATATATATATATGTTGTCATATTTTACACTTGCAATATATTTAGAATAATTCTATTATAAATTAATTAATTTGTACGTGAATGGGTATGATTAATTGTTTCAATTGCGCGATACATAATTTATAATTATAATTTATAATTTTGATTAATATGCGCACCAATTAATAATTTATGTTTTAAAAATTATAAAACATCTTGTGTATTTTGTTTAATTCATCTTTTCGTGCTCTTATTATCTTCAAGACTTTATATGACCCTGGCGAATATCTTGTCTCAACCTTAATTAAAAACTCCTCTATCTGAAGCAGATAATATAAATATGTACTGAACAATGTTTATAGCAGATTAGGCTTAATAAAAAACGGAAAGATCAAACTGTATTATATATGTTTTACTATATATCTTATGCCATATTTATAGAGATAACTTAAACTAATTAATAAACATAAATAATTAAATAAGAAAGATATAATTGTAAAATTTACCTTTTTCAATTCATCTTCAAAACGAAGATTCCATATGATATCACCCCATAAAACTATCACTTCATGTTTGTAAAATCTGTAAATTTAAACATTATTAATTTATCATAAATAGACGCAAGTCATTTTGACGATTACAATGTACGACTGATTGCAATTGGAAGAATTACCTGTCTATTATTTTCATAAATCTTTCTAAGACATATGGATACACCATATCATTCTGCATATATCTCTTTAAAGTAGATTGGAAATGTTCCGTAAGCTGTTTGTTTTCTATTAATTCAGCTATCTCTTTATCGAGAAGGAGATCTATGTAATATGTTATGCGTGTAAAATTATCAGTACAAGCCAAATATTTAAATGTAGATATATCTGAAGATCGAAGGCTTTCACGCAGAATTTGCTGCCAAGTATTTTCGTTGAGTTGCATCATACCTGTACAATACACCCATTCTTTCCACCATGGCAAAATTCTATGTAAAATACAAAATAAAAAGAAATATATATATCATAAATATATATAAGTAATATATAAGTAATATATATATATATATATATATATATATATATATATATATATATATATATAATATAATATAATATATATACAATACACAGATAAATAAAATAAATTTAATTTAAATTATATTAATCTTATTTATTCACTGATTAAACGTTCGTAAGAAAGAGATAGGTTTGAAAATAGAACATTAATTGTATAAAAAGAATTACTGTGTATCCGGAGAATTATATTTTGTTTCCAATTTAGCACTGGCAGCTTTTCTGCATTCGCTATGACCAAGTTTACAAGACCACTTTGTTGCTAATAACCTTAATGTCTTCGTCATGCCATTATCTTCAGGTTTCTCCTCGTACCCAATATTCGTAAGCAGATTATCCAATATTTCCAACATGGTCGCCTGCGAATCGCCAAATAATATTAAGTGTATATTATTATTATTTGATAAATTTATGTGTGAATATAAACAGTTTACTCAAATTTCTTTCATGCTAAGAGTGAATGGAGTACAGTATGCACACATTTTTTAAATCTATCCTCCTTATTGAATACCGTGTATCGATACCGTGTATCGAAAGTATTTGCTGAACTTGTTTATGCAATGTAATTCACTACGGCTTACCTTTACAGAACTACTCGCTGAAAGCTTCCAATATGCAGACATGTAAGTTAAAATATTGAACATAGGATACCAAGCTACATAATGAGTCTCACGCTTTAGATATTCAATGAGGTTCAAAAATATGGATGTGCTGAGTTTACCCGCCATTGTAAAGTAATATGCATCGTCAATCAGTTGAGCTCGATTTTGCACAGGTATATTAGTGTAACCGCTATAGGTCAGATAATTCGAAATCAACTGCCAATTGCTATTTGCATAATTTACACGATAATATCCTGTTATATAACATAATATCCTAATTAAGAAGATTTATGCGAATTTCAAAATATGTTATCATAGTAGTATAGACACAAAAAGATATGACGTAATTTTATCGACTGATACTCACCAACTTGTCGCAAGTTGTATATAAAGAAATAACTCTCCTTAGACTTAGAAATAATTTTAGATTCGTTACACATCATCCAAGTAAGTGGCAAGGTATCGAAGTAAGAGCTATTATCAGATTGTACAAGAATGCTTATAGGTATGTCGCAGTTAGTACTGCTCTCACAAAATGTAGTGATATTCACGTTATTGTCATCAAAAGTAATGTACAATTCAGGGTAATGTTTCTGCCGTAACCAACCATGCATTAAATCTTTTATATGAGGATTTCCTTCTTGTTGTACATCGTCTGTACCTTGCAGAGTCTTCCACAAATCGTTGCCAGTGATTGTCACTAGATTGTCACTAAATTGTTAAAATTAAAAATTGATAACGATGCGTGAATTGTACAAATAAATTATATAATTCAATCAGAGAGAAAATTAACTAGGACATTTACTTAGCTATAAATTTGTGTAATTTAATAGATTTATGTAGATTTGTTCTAAAAAGGAGGGTGCACAACCGAGGACATATTCAATTTATATTATAATTTAAGGAAGATAACATTTTCCATTAGTCAAATAATACTAGTATATTTTTTAATTAATCTGCATATAACGAATAAATATATAAACAATTTTGCAATAAAATATGCGAGAAAAAAATAGAATCAGGTTATATTTTTACGTTAAGTTACTTACGAATTTTTCAGATATTGTCCGATACGCTCTCTAAACTTCTGCGGTGAAAGAATTTGTTGCAACATGCGCAGAAAAACAGCTCCTACGGTGATATACAAAATACATTGTTAAAATTTAATTCGATTTCTTCTCATCGTATTCTCGCTGAAGAATGATTACTATAAACACGATGACAGTAAATAACATTTTAATAACGCATTTAATGATGTCTGTAAGATTAATAATATGTCATTAATTATGTTATTGATGACATCGTGCTATTTGGAACATTAAACGTAGAATCATTTGAATATATTCACACACCTTTATTGTGATAGTAACGAATGTAAAGAATTCTATCAATCTCATTACTGTGCATAATGTCATATACATCAGATGCTATAGAATTCATTCGTAAAGTAATGTCACAATGGAATGCAGATTGTACAATTTGAACTACGAAAAGTTCTTCTAATTGTATGCTCATGTCAAACTGGGACAAACAATAGTCATGAAGTTGATATCATATAAAGAATAGTATTGGAATTGCTTAATAACTAAAAACATTTATGAGAAATTGCTATTAATAAATAATAATAAATAAGTAAATGTGCTAACGACCCAATAAATATGATGACGTATTAGCAAAATCAAATATTAATAAAATGACGTATTAATACGTCATCATTTTTACTGGAAAGAATTCCAGAATTTTCATTATATATGTCAAGCTAATAATTACAAAAGTGCATTCTTGCATTACCAATACTAAACTGCGAAAATACCTGGAGTGAAAAGAAATAACTGAAGTAGGTCGCAAATGATTCTCTTATAAACTCTATCGGGGTTGGGTGGGTGATATTTCTACGAAACCATTGACGTGCAATTTGACTCGCAATTAATTGTGCAACATTTATTTTGACACCAACGAAATCTGACCCTTCAAGGTAGCTAACATCACGTTCTCTGTAAATTTTAAATAAATGATAATGTTCTCGGCACTGGCATAGTTGCATTACGAGGTTGTATTGCAATTTCAATTTATCATATACTCATTGAAACTTTTATTAATCTCTTACTGAATTATTTCTACACTGTTAAATCTGTAGTGTCAAATTATACTTAATTTGAGTTATTTTTAACCATTCCTATAAGTCGCCACTGCTCCTACTAAATATATCGTTAATTTAACTAATGTAATGGAGTTAAATAATTTAACTTAAGAAATGTATTAAATTTGACTAAAATTTAGTTTATTTTTTATTATGTGCACGTTAATGTAACCTTTGTTTTAGTAAAAAATGACTTAATATTGTTTTAAATTGGTTGATTAGATGTGGTTGTTTTTCTAAACACATGTTTTGTGTTAAAATAGTAAATTTTGACACACATGATAGTTAAAAATAACTAAATATTATTTAACTCAAGAAATTGGTTTAAATTTGACCCTCCAATATTTAACAGTGTAAACAGCACGTATTAGTTGACCAACGGTTAGTCATTTTACATTGGTCGTAATAGATGCAACATTCACCAAATGCTTCGTGCTATATTTATTATAATTTATAAACTCTAGAATGCGTTTCAACGAGTTAATATTATGTTATTTTATCTAATGGGGCGTATACCTGTAAATAATGAGTCCAGGTGACCCTACTACTTTCAATGGACTAGGAATCATGATGTGCTGTATTTCCGGCAATATACTCAGCGTTGCATAATTGGCCAAGGACATTTTGACTTCAACAACTGTAGAAAAGGCGAAGCTCAAATTTTTCGGTGATTCTGGATAGCACCATATGGAATCCGTCATAAAATCAAAATGACGGATTATATTGTTATCAGTCACAACAATCGTCACTTCAGAAACAGTTAACATATAACTGGGCATAAAATATGAGTGCAGAATTTCACCGGATCTTGGCCAAATTAATTGTAGTGGCATATTTGAAAAGACCTTGTATTTTTTAGGATGGACAACAGAAATATTGAAAGTTGCCCTTATTTCTGATTGGTCCCAGCATGGAAATATTCTTCGAGCACCGATCGATTTAAATGAATATGTGTAAGACCACCTATCGCAAATCACAATAGATTTGACAATTATAAATTTGATCGATTATATAACATTAATGAATCAGTACTTCAAATAAGCTCACAAAAAAACTTAGAATTTATCTTTTACAATGTTTCGTTTCAATAAACTTTAGACGATATATGTTTTCAACGTATAAAGCTCTCGTGGCATGTATAATAATCATAATAATGTCAAAAATATATAATTGACAATGCAATAGTTAAAGTACCTGCTCACCTTTCATGTTTTGCTAAATTAAAGGCCACATGCCGAATATCATTTTTATAAACATTGATGGTAATAGGCACGGCAAAATTCAGGGTTAGATAATAAAATCCAGGCAATATTACATGTTTAAAATGCAAGTCTAACATCTGTGATATTTTACAGTAACGATATCTCACTGGGAAACGAATTTCCGATTCTTTAAAGCAGCATTTCGCTGCATTCGTAAGATGTATATCATTTAACTTTATGCGCTTTATATTGTGAGCGTGCAGACGTATAGTTCTCGTTTGCTGATAAATTTCAATCAAGATTCTTGATGAAGCAAAGTGGGGAATATAACCAATAATGAATATGATGTCATAGCTCTTTGGTTTCATTATATCGAATGGTAAACGATCTTCAGGTGAAGCGAATGTGCAGTCTCCCACATCCGTATCAGTGATAATAGAGTCAGAAACATTTGCCCTCACTACAGTAAATATGAGAACGATACTTAGTATTAAATTCAAACATATCGTTTTCATTTCTATATCAATATCTGTGAATGTTTCTTCTTTTGCTGTAAAAGAAGATAAATACAAATAAGTTTGCATTATGTAGCCATCGTAATTAAATGTAAAATGTAAAAAAATTTATACAACAATTTGAAGAAACGGAACTGAGACAAGAATTAGAAAAAAACGAAAATAACGGTAATATTATTTATCGCCAATCTCTTCACACATTTATTATTTGTAACATATGTCTATTTCGCCTACTTCAGACATAATCGATATATTTACATCATGTTACGCTTGGCAAGCAATAAAAACATGAGGAGAGATCGCAACAATAACAACGGTCACATATACCGAAAGGCATCTGGAAAAACGGATTAATCGTGCGGATTTGTATTCAACAAAGTATTGTAAAAGCTACTGATCTCACAAGTTAGAACACAAAAATTGTGAAATTTCAAATAATCTTTCCAGATGTCTGTTATAAACAATAATATATTTCCTGGCGTGAATATTATTGTTTATAACAGCCATTCAGAAGAATTATTTGATATTTCACAATTTTCATATTCTAAGTTAGGTATTCTAAATTGAATAATATATCTAGTGGCTATATTCGCTGAGAAATGAAAATAATTTTATCTTGAAAGCCAAAGTTTTTTAGTTTTGTTTTCATGATCTCTTCCCATATGCTGAACGCTTGTATATTAGGATTCATTAATGCCTTTACACTTCCGGTATCTAGAGAATTGTACTTCTTCGATCTGGCGCATCGTTTCTTAATAAGCGTGATTCGTAAATGTTAGTAGTTAGCCGGTTTTTTCAGTAATTAATAGTCACGATTTACACTTACTGAGAAACAATGCGCCAGATCGAAAAAATCCAATTTTCCAGATACCGAAAGGGTAAAGGCATTAATGAATTTTAGTGTACGTATATTTCTTGATAATAACGATGTGCACTTGACTGTGTAAAAATATATAATTTACGGTAAATGACAATAGATATATCTTACCTTCTCGAGGAGTTACCGCAAGCTAATGACAATATTGACATCTGGCGCCTTTATATAAGCTCAAAGTGTCGGGAATAGTAAATTGAAGCCAATATGATCTCGTATAAGAAGTTATTGCGGGACGTTATATATCGGTGGAAGTTCTGTTGTACGCTAAAGAAGAAGTAGTTAATTTAAGGAGACTTTGCTTGAATAAAGAAAATCCGTTCAAGCAAACATTTTGTCGATTGAACAAATTATGTTCAAATTGTTGCGATAAATTATCAATTGATTCAACGGTTGTGATTTGGTCAATAAATATAATAACCCAACTTACAGTTGCGCTAATGCGTAATTTGTTCAATATTTCTTTGATGGTTCGTGACTGCCGATTTTGTCGATGGAACTGCTTCTTTCTCAGCCTATATACAGGGTGTTGATTTTAAAACTTTCCACCTCAATAATTTAAAAAATATACGTTTTCTATTTAAGTCAGAATTACTATCCTAAGTTCATAAATAGAAATTATTAACCAACAATAAATTATTTTAAACGATTTTATCTTTAGTTATATGAAAAGTTATCTTTGAAGTTATATAAAAAGTTGTTCAATAAAGAGATAAAATTAGGTAAAAAGTAATAAAGGAACAGAGAGAAGATAGTAATAGTGAGACGAGAAGATAGTGTTATTTGGCGAGAATTTTATATACGTTTATCATTTGTAATATGCGTCTACTCGGTCTACTTTAGACACAATCTATATGTTTACATCTTATTTCGTTTAGAAAACAAATAAGAATATGAAATGAAATCGAAAGAATAACAATGGACACATATTGTATACAAATTGAAAGTTGAGACGGATTAATCACGCGAATCCATTTGAAATGTGTTATAAATGCTCAACTATACAATATAAGATATAAAGATTGTGAAATTTCAAATAACTCTTCAATATGTATTATAAATAATAATATTTTTAACTAGTATTGGATAATATCTAAGAGGGATGACTAATATAGTCTATAACAGAACAGAATATATATTAATATATTTTTTATTAAAAATCTTTAATAATCAAAAGAAAATATTTATTATATCATGCACGTAAATTACACACATATATATTCATATGTATGAATATATATATATAATGCAATATTTTACACTTGCATTTAGGCACTTGTATTTAGGATAACTCTATTATAAATTAATTAATTTGCACGTGAAAAGGCATGATTAATTGTTTTAACTGCGCGATACATAATTTATATTTTTAATTTGTCATTTCAATTAATCTGTGTACCGTTTAATCTTTTTTGTTTTAAAAATGATTAAACATCTTGTATATTTTGTTTAATTCATCTTTTCGTGCTCTTATTATCTTCTGGATTTCATATGGCTCTGCTGAATAATTTTCCTCAACCTTATATGAAAACTCCATTATCTGAAACAAATAATTTAGGCATATATTGAACAATGATTAATACCAGATTAGGCTTAATATAAAAAATATATTATATTTGCTTTATAGTAAAACAAGATATCCTATGTGATATTTATAGAGACAACTTAAACTAATTATTAATCATAAATAATTAAGTAGAAAAGATATAATTGTGTATAACTTACCTTTTGAAATTCATCTTTAAAACGAAGATTCCATATGATATCACCCCATAAAACTATCACTTCATGTTTGTAAAATCTGTAAATTTAAATATTATTAATTTATCATCAGCAGAAAATCAATTAGATAATCAATTCACTCTGACGATTACAATGTACGACTGATTGCAATTGGAAGAGAATTACCTGTCTATTATTCCCATAAATTTTTCTAAGACATATGGAAACACCATATGATTCTGCATATATCTCTTTAAAGTATACTGGAAATGTTCCGTAAACTGTTTGTTTTCTATTAATTCAGTTATCTCTTTACCGAGAAGGAGATTTATGTAATATGTACTGCGTGTAAAATTATCAGTACAAGCCAAATATTTAAATGTAGATATATCTGAAGATCGAAAGCTTTCATGCAGAATTTGTTGCCAAATGTTTTCGTTGACTTGCATTATACCTGTACAATACACCCATTCTTTCCACCATGGCAAAATTCTATATAAAATATAAAATTAATATAATACAAGAAATATATGTGAATATGTCATAAATAAATATAAATAAGTAAAAATAAATAAATAAATATAAATAAATATAAAAAAATAAATATAAATAAATAAATATATAAATAAATATATAAATAAATATAAAAATAAATAAATAAATATATCATAAATAAATATAAGTAAATATACAATATAGATAGATAAATAAAATAAATTTAATTTAAATTATATTAATCTCGTTTATTCACTGATTAAACGTTCGTAAAAAAGAGATATATTTGAAAAAAGAATTACTGTGTATCCGGAGAATTATATTTTGCTTCCAATTTAGCACTGGCAGCTTTCCTGCATTCGCTATGACCAAGTTTACAAGTCCATTTTGTTGCTAATAATCTTAATGACTTCGTCATGCCATTATCTTCAGGTTTCTCCTCGTATCCTATATTCGTAAGCAGATTATCCAATATTTTCAACATGGCCGACTGCGAATCGAATATTAATTGCATATTATTATTATTTGCGAAGACAAAAATTATGTGTGAATATAGACAGTTTACTCAAATTTCTTTCTGATACTAGTAGTGATTGGAATACAGTGATTGGAGTGCACACATCTTTTAAATCTATCCTCCTGATTGAATTACCGTATATCGAAAATATTTGCTGAATTTGTTTATGCGACGTAATTTACTACGGCTTACCTTGATAGAACTACTCGCTGAAAGCTTCCAATATGCAGACATGTAAGTTAAAATATTGAACATAGGATACCAAGCTACATAATGAGTCTCACGCTTTAGATATTCAATAAGGTTTAAAAATATGGATGTGCTGAGTTTACCCGCCATTGTAAAGTAATACGCATCGTCAATCAGTTGAGCTCGATTTTGCACAGGTATGTTAGTGTAACCGCTATAGGTCAGATAATCCGAAATCAACTGCCAATTGCTATTTGCATAATTGACACGATAATATCCTGTTATATAACACAATATCCTAATTAAGAAGATTTATGCGAATTTCAAAATATTTTATCGTAACAGTATGAGCAGTAAACATATGACACAATTTTATCGATTGATACTCACCGACTTGCCGCAAGTTGAATATGAAAAAATAACTCCCGTTAAACTTAGAAATAATTGTTGACTCGTTACAATGCACCCAAATAGGTGGCGAAGTATGCTCATAAAATTTACTTCCTGATTGTACAAGAATGTTTATGGGTATGTCGCAGTTAGTACTGCTCTCACAAAATGTAGTGATATTCACGTTATTGCGATCAAAATTAATGTATAATTCAGGATAGTGTTTTTGTTGTAACCAACCATACATTAGATCTCTTATATGAGGATTTCCTTCTTGTTGTACATCGTCTGTACCTTGCAGTGTCTCCCACAAATCGTTGTCAGAGGTCGAGTCGATTGTACTAAATTGTTAAAATTTAAAATTGATGACGATGTATAAACTATAAATAAATTCTATAATTCAATCAAAGCGCAAATTAACTTAGACATTTACTTAGCTATAAATTTATGTAATTTAAAAGGTTTATGTAGATGTGTTCTAAAAAGGCGGGTGCACAACCGAGGACATGTTCGATTTATATTATAACTTAAGAAAGACGACATTTTCTGAATGTACTTTGTTAGTTAAAAAAATACTAGTATGTTATTTAATTAATCTGTATATGACAAATAAATGTATAAATAATATTGCAGTAGAATATCCGAGAAAAAAATAGATTGAGATTATATTTTTACGTTGAGTTACTTACGGATTTGTCAGATATTGTCCGATGCGCTCTCTAAACTTCTGCGGAGACAGAATTTGTTGCAACATGCGCAGATAGACTGCTCCTACGGTGATATACACAAAATGCAATGTTAAAATTTAATTCAATTCCTTCTTATCGTATTCTCGCTGAAGAAGGATTACAATAAACACGATGACATCAAATAACATTTTAATAACGCAATAGTGATGTTTGTAATATTAATAATATGTTATTATGTTATTTGATGTGCTGCTTGAAACGTTAAACGAAGAATCCTTTGAATGAATTCACTTACCTTTGTTGTGATACAAACGAGAGTAAAGAACTGTATCAATCTCATTATCGTGGATAATGTCATGGATAACATGTGCTACGGAATTCATTTGTAAAGTAATGTCATGACAATGGAGTACAGGTTGTAGAATTTGAACTACGAAAAGTTCTTCTAATTGTATGTTTATATCATGCTGGGACAAACAGTAGTCGATATCAAATGAAAAATTATATTGAAATTGATTATTAATTAAAAATAATTATGCGAAATGGCTATTACGCAAATGTGCTAACAATCCAACAAACATGATGGCGTATTAACAAAATCAAATCGCGTATTAATATATCATCATTTTTGTTGGAAAGAATTCCAGAATTTTCATTATATATGTCAAGTTAGTAATTATAAAAGTGCATTCCTGCATTATCAATATCAGCCTGCGAAAATACCTTAAGTGAAAAGAAATAACTGAAGTACGTCGCAAAAGATTCTCTTATCCACCAGTCAAACGGGATTAAGTGGGTGACATTTCTACGGAACCATTGATGTGCAACTTGATTCGCGATTAATTGTGCGACATTTATTTTGACACCAACGAAATCTGACCCTTCAAGGTAGCTAACATCACGTTCTCTGTAAATTTTAAATAAATGATATTGTCCTCAGCATTTGCATAGTTGCGTTGCGATGTTCTATTGCAATTTCAATTTATCATATACTCTTTGAGATCTTTATTAATCTATTAGGCCCGATTGCACCAACGTTATTTTAGTTTTAAGCGAGACTTAAATATTTGTCCGTCTTTATTTATTTAGAAAGAAAGATAAAGGTAGAGACATGTTTAAGTTTCGCTTAGAGCCAAAATAACGTTGGTGCAGTCGGGCCTTACTGAATTATTTCTAAACAGCATATATTAATTAACCAACGGTTAGTCGTTGTAGATTTTACTATAGATTCAATATTCACCAAATGCTTTGTGCTATTTGGGTTATAAACTCTAGGGTTCCTTACAGATCTCAACGTAAAAGTAACAATTATATTATTTTAATTAATGGAGCGTATACCTGTAAATAATGAATCCAGGCGACCCTACTACTTTCAGTGGACTAGGAATCATGATGTGCTGTATTGCCAGTATTATACTCAGTTCTGTGTATTTGACCAAGGACAATCTTACATCAATAATTGTAGAAAGGGCGAAGCTCAAATTGTTCGACGATTCTGGATAGTACCATACGGAATCCATCACAGTATTAAAATGACGAAATATATTGTTATCAATCACAACAATTGTCACTTCAGAAGCAGTTATCAGAGAGCTAGGCATAAAACGTGTCCATAGACCTTCATCATACTTCATTGACCAGTTCGCTTGTACTGGCATATTTGACAAGACCGTGTATTCTTTAGGACAAATGACAGAAATATTGAAAGTTGCCCTTATTCCTGGTTCGTCCCAGCATGGAAACATTCCTCGAGCAGCGATCGATTCAAATAGATTCGTGTAAGACCACCTATTATATTTCACAATATATTTAAGTTATAAATTTGATCGATTATATAACGTAAGTGAATCAGTAGTTGATATAAGCTCACAAATGAAACTTATAATTGACGTTTTGCGACGTTTCATTTCAATAAACGACAATATTAAATTAAACGACGAATTAAACGATATATGTTTTCAACGTATAAAGTTCTCGTGACATGTATAATAACCATAATAATGTCAAAAATATATAATTGACAATACAGTAGTTAAGATATCTGCTTACCTTTCATGTTTTGTCAAATTGAAGGCCGTATGCCGAGTATAATTTTTATAACCATGGATGGTAATAGGCACGGCAAAATTCAGCTCTAGACGATAAGATGCAGGCAATATAGTATCTTTAAAATACAAGTCTAACATCTGTGATATTTTACAATAACGATATTTCACGGGAGAATGTACTTTCTGTTCTTCCGCTACTTTTGTGAGAAATATCTGATCGAACATTATACGCTTTAATTTGTGAGCGTGTAGACGTATAGTTTTCGTTTCCTGATAAATTTGAACAAATATTTCGGACGTAGTATAGCGGTAATTGTAATCAACAGTGAATAGAATGTTATAATCCTTTAGTTCCATTATATTGAATGGTAAAGAATCTTCGGGTGAAGCAAATGTGCAGTTTCCCACATCCGTATCAGTGATAATAATGTCAGAAACATAAATTTCCCTCACTACAGTAAATATCAGAGCGATACTTAGTAGTAACTTTAAACTTATCGTTTTCATTTTTATATCAATATCTATGCATACGTTTCCTCTTTCGCTGTAAAAAAAGGTAAATAAATTTGTATTAAATAGCCATGGTAATTAAATGTAAAATGAAAAAAAATTTATATTTGAAGAAACGAAATTGAGACAAAAATGAGAAAGAAACGAAAATAACTATAATATTATTTATTGCCAGTCTCTGCATACATTTATCATTTGTAATATATGTCTATTTCACCTACTTTAGAAATAATCGATGTATTTATATCGTATTAAATTTGACAAGGAAATAAAAACATGAGAGATTGAAACAATAATAGCGGTCACATATACCGGAAGGCCTCTGATGAGACGGATTAATCGCGCGGATCTGCGATTCAACGAGTGTTATAAAAGCTACTGATTTCACAACATAAAACACAAAAATTGTGAAATTTCAAATAATCTTTCCAGATGTCTATTATAAACAATAATATATTTGCTGGCATGAATATTATTGTTTATAACAGACATGCAGAAGAATTATTTGATATTTCACAATTTTTATATTCTAAGTTACGTATTCTAAATGGAATAATATATCTAGTGACCATATTAGATGAGGAATGAGAATAATTTCATCTTGAAAGCCAAAGTTTTTTAGTTTCATTTTCATGATCTCTTCTCATATGTTGAATAAAACTATTGATATACTTAACGTATATTTCTTGATAATAATGATGTGCACTTGATTACCTTATGTCTAAAAGTATATAATTTACAACAAATAACAATTTATATATCTTACCTTTTCAAGGAATTACCGCAAACTAATGACAATATTGATATCTGGCGCTTTTATATAAGCTCAAAGTGTTGGGGATAATAAATCGAAACCAGTATGGTCTCGTATATAAGAAGTTATTGCGGCATATTATATATCGGTGAAAGTTCTGATGTACACTGAAAGAAGTGATTGATTTAATAAGAGTTTGCTTGAATAAAGGAAATTCGTTCAAGCAAACGTTTAGTCGATTAAACAAATTATGTTCAAATTGTTACGATGAATTATTAATAGACTCAACGATTGTGATTTGGTCAGTAACTATATCAACTCAACTTATAGTTGCGCTAATGCGTAATTTGTTCAATAAATACAATATTTCTTTGATGGCTGGTAAATGTCGATTTTGTCTGTGCAACTGTTTTTTTTCTCAGCGTATATATAAATTATAAACGAGTACAATTGTAATAACAAAACTACGATAAGGCAGTAAAGAAGACAATCGTGTTCGGAAATATTTTAAATCGCTACAGAGTCTCGTATTTAAATAATTTGTTGTTAAAACATTTTTCTCAGTAAATATAATTTCTTATATTCTAAAAATTTTTATGAACTTTCCATATTGTAAATCTACAAAAACTTTTGAAAAAACATGTATTTTTTAAAACTGTTTTTTTTTTTGCGAAAATTATATGAGATGTGAGTTATGAGTTCATTGAATTCACAGATGTCAACTTTAAATTTTAGGTATGATAACTATGTCTGCACCGGTTGTTGATACGAAGAATCGTTACACCGAATATTGTTGCACTTCGACAAAAAAAAGAAACAGTTAACGTCATTTTCGCTAAAGATAACTTCTTTAAAGATTCTTCGATAGTGAAATGAGCAGCGTAGGCGATTCGATATTATCAAGAGAGCAAATAACTTTGTATTTATTTATTTTTACTCAAATGGAAGGCAATCGATAAATTCGCAACAAATAAAAATAAATAACACTCTCTCTAAGCAATAATTACGTGATCGTTACTTAAGAGTATATCATTACAATAAATTCAATGATACTTAACAAAAAGAGAAAATCTTATATATACCACCTCCTCGCAATGCACATACAAAATGTGTGTTCGCGTGCGACACGTTACCGCATGTTTTTTTCCTCCGTTATATCCTCTCGATACAATCGTCGTACGTTATATATTCGACAAAGCTCCTTTGTATGTATATATTTATATATGTATAATATACGCGATCGGTTTACGTGTTTTGTTACACTTTACTTGGCCGCGTTTAGTTCATTCACTTTCGTACAAATTACAAAGGCTCCCACACGCATACAAAATACACACACACATAAAGGCACATACACACTCTCACATACATCGCAGACACACTCACACATGATAGACTACCAGATTCGCACAGCCTGACAGATACGATCAATCATAGGCAGAATCATGATTAACGACTCGAAACAATTACTCAAATAATTATGCGATTGCACGTCAAGTGGTACTCTCTCTCTTGCTGTGACACGTCCGGCGATAAAGTACGGACACATCGTCAGCGTGTTTCTCGTGTTGACCAGCTCGTGTTACTGTGTGTGCGATCGCTCATCGCTTATCCTACATAAATTCGTTACGTCAAGCTCGCCACTGCACAATACATATACGCAACACACACACACACACACACACACACAC